AAGAAGAGGAGAGAGAGAGAGAGAGAGAGGAGAGAGAGAGGAGAGGAGAGAGGAGAGGAGAGAGGAGAGAAGAGAGAAGAGAGAAGAGAGAGGAGAGAGAGAATACACTTTGAAGTTTAAAACCTCACATTGCTTTCTCTGAACACTAGTACAGCCCAGTTTCCAATCAGAACACCCAATCTTCACAGTGGTTTTTAGTTTAAATGTCTGGTACCCTGGCATGTTTCAAAATGCCTCCTTTTGTGAATTAGAAGTAGAAGCTGTCAGGAACATCAAATCGGTGAGACACTTGAAAGGACTCCAGAGTCTCTGTTTCCAAAGCAAAGTGCATCCTGGGTGGGCAGAACAGGGGCGCAGGCAAGCAGCGGCATTATTGTTCTCCGGATTTTGGCACCAAGGCTTTTATTCCCAGGTAGCCAAACGCTGACATATTATTCCAGAATGGACGGTATCGGGAACTAACCTGGTGATGTGTTTGCTGTTAGCCTTTTGCTAACACTAAGCACTTAACTGTTCATATGTACTTCTACTGTTCAGAGAAAGCTATTTTTTCAATTAATTTTATTTTCCCAGAGGAACTGTACTATCTCACCTCTTTAGTTCAGGAAATAATTAAGAACAGCTATATTTTTGAAGATCAACTCTCTCTTAACTCTAAATGTTTGTAATGTGTGCAGTTTCCAAACCTCATCTTTTCCTCTTTATTTCCTAGTTACAAAGCTGTGAGTTTAAGCCTACTGGGTGTTGTTGGGGAGGGTTCCAATCAGCAGGCTCACAGTGACTAATGCTGATTTAGTTTAACCATAGAGCACTTTCTATTGTATAAACAGAAGAGGTGTTTATAGCTTCTGAAACTGAGGACATTGTTTAATATATATTCAGTAACTTGTTTGACAGACTAGAACTATCCTAACAAATTGGCATCCAAGATACTCGTAAGGGATTTGTGGGTTTTTTTGTTTCTTTGTTTTATTTTCACTGTGCAGATTGCATTATTAGCTAGCTGCTCTGCAGAAAAGGCCTGGTCACTGTGTGTACGTACGTATGTAGTTAATGAAGAGCTTGGACTGGAGTTTTAATTCCTGAGCACAATGTTGATCCACTGAGTTGCCCCATTTCTCTCTGCTCAGCTGGACCACGGGTTTACCATCAAGAGATCAGGGTCTTTGGACTACTACCAGCAACCAGGAATGTATTGGATAAGGTATGAGATGGTGCAGCTCAACAGTCAGTGTTTCCATGGCAACGTGCTGGCAGTCTCCATTTACCAGTTCCTTCAGTGGATAAACATGTTTTTGATTTGTTACCCAGTCCATATGCTGCTTTATCAGTTTCATTTTAATCTTGATTGAGATGCCACACCCCCTCATTCCTTTTTTTCACCCATTATTCACACTGACATTTGCCAGCTTTCTTTCCATCGCACATGCTCAGTATCGATTTCCCCTTACGGTTAAAAGGACAGTATATTCCATGCCAATGCCAAAGCATTTGCCTGTTGTTGCTGATTGCAGCAGTGATGTTTCCAGTGCTCTTCTGTCCTGTAATAAATGGAACTACAGAAGCACCTTAGTGTGTACTCTATAGAAGTATATACTGTCATTTTAAAGCCATTCAGCCCAGCCTTAACCTTCTTAGATGACGGAACAATGCATTTACACACTAGCAGTAGAAATGCCTCCTAGTACAGTGGGCTTCAGAATGCATTGTGTGTGTTGGTAAGCTTGTGTTTTCAAATTCTCCACCTTCTTGTTTTGTTTTTGTTTTACTGTTTTCTCCCCCCCCCACTCCCCAAAATTCTCTCTATGTACTAGCTACTGCATGAATTTACTTTCTGATATTTTGTAATTGTCAGATTATTTAGTTGGCTTATCTGCTTGAGCAAGGGGGGGTCTTTGGGAAGTATTGACTTGTTTAACCAGCTTATGAATTCTATCCCATCCTTCCCTATTCCAGTCAATGGCCCTGGCATCTCCTGCAAGGGGCATTGTGTGTGTATCTCTCTAGAGTTACCCACAAGCAAGATGACTTTTGATGGTTTGAGAAATGAACTCTGAGAAGTTCTAGAGAACTTCTCTTCACCTTAATGTCTCCAAAATGATCTCCAGGTAAAAACCAAGAAAAGTCCCTGCCCCCAGCTTTGGCATTGTTTTCTCCAAATAATGAAACCTGTTGGCAGCAACATGGTGTCTCCCTGACACCGTCTCATGGATCAGACTGCCAAGTTTTACCAGAATAAGTTTATACTCATGTGTGTATAGATACAGATATACTTTATATGTAATATGTATAAATTTTCCCTCTGATTGTTGCCCCTAATTATTTGTTAAAATAATTAGGTTCTCAAAAACAAAGGGCTTAGAAAACTAGAACAAGGCACACTCTGACAAATAATCAAAAGTGTAGTAAGGGCATGACCATTTCTAGATCTGCTTACAGTAGGAAGACCCCAGCCTCAGTAAGACTTCTTAGTGAGTTTTCCAGAGAAGGCACTTTGTACCCCTTCAGAATTGGTCTAAGGAAGGGGTCGTATAGCCAGTGCTTCGTTTACCTAAGTAAATTAGCTTTGGAGGAGGGGGAGTTCATTATGATTGGCCTGAACACAGACCCAGCCTTGACTTTTTAACACTGAAGTAATATAGAAGAGTACGTGTTTCACAAAAGCTAGTCTTTCCTGTAGATTTCACACACTGTGCACACTCCTGAAACAGTTTCTGTTCCAGGCACAGACCATTCCCAGCACCCAGAAGCACCCTTCCAGGCCCTTCCCAGAGGGTGCTTTTGTCCCACGGGTAAAGGCTAACTGAAAAGTCTACCTGTGGTAATTAGTTTTGCTCCCTTTCAGACTTTATGTAAATTGAATCGTACCATGCTTCAGCCTTTCTTATCCTGTGTCTCCTGTCCTGGGGTATATCAGCCAGATGCGAACATGTAGAATTGATAGAGGGTGAAAAATCGGCATTGAGTGTGTCTAATTACATCTATACTTATTTGTGTTTTAAAAAAGATAAAGAAAAACCTGGCATCCCTAAATCCATTTAATTTCACAGAAAGGAAAATCCTGAGGAATTATAAAACTCACAGGGTAGGCTCAATGTGCCAAGGAAACATAATAATTAATGCATGTGAGCTAGTATTAAAAAGACTAACTACAAGCTAGTGGCGGTTCCCATCCGCAGACAAAATGACACATCCCTGAATAATGGGCAAGAGCAGATGGGAGATAATCTCTTTTCTCTTCCACACATAAACTGCTGTTTTCCAGCTGGGGGCAGTAACAACAATGTTTATAGTTACTGCTGCACTAAACAGCGTACACAGTATGTAAAGCTAAACTGGAGACATGACACTAAAAATCTCATTGCCATCTATGCTTAATTAGGAAGTTTTATAATGCCATTTAGCCTCAGAATGAACACATTCTCCTTGCTGATCACAAATGCTTCCCTTTTATCTCCATAGAAGTGGGAGCATTCATCTACCCAGGGTGGCAGGCCAACTTTTCAACATAAACAATCATCATAGGCAAACAACCCCGCTCCCAGTTGTTGTGTTTATAAGCACTCCTGGCTGTTGATACTGCTCTGAGCAAAGCACTTCAGAATCCCACTTGCATTTACAAAGTAGCTCACATGAGGGTGTCAGCTGGTAAAACCCTCTCCAGGAGGTGCCCCAAATCATCGGGATTCTCTTAATTGACATTTTAGTATCCACATGATGGGGGTCCATTTTCCTTTCTCTCTTTCATGCCCCAGCTCTTTCTCGGCTCTTCCACTCTCTGCCTACAGCCGGGGAACTGCATTCTCTGGCTGGCCAATTTATCTAGGAGGCCTTACCACCCAGAGCCCAAGCTCACTAGGCTGTCCCAGCCCCCTCCCCTGAACCCCTAAAGCATTGCTTCTCCTTATTTCGCATCACAGGAAAATGTACATTCTGCTCTATCCCTCCCCCTCCCGAAGGGGACCCAGTCCAATCATTTCTACCTTTCCCAAGTACAGAGGTCCCTGTGGCTGGTGCCATGGCCAAGAACACACGGAACAGAATTCTGCATCCGAAGTGTGGAAACCATGGCTGTGGCTAAAATGAAGTAACTCGGTTAAATAAAATAAATGTCAAAACAGGGCACCAAATGCTGAATAAGATGAAATGGGGAGGTGAGCTAGGACAAAGGGGTGACTGAGTCCCCAGGCATGATGTGACTAAACTGTGCATGTTAGTGACAATGCCTCCTCCTGAAACAGTGAGTAATGAGGCAGAGCCACCAGCAGCCGGGCGCTGGCTTTGGGAGGCCATCAAATGCTGTCGTGCTCAGCTCTTAAAAGGAATGGGGTCTGGTAAATATGTCTTGCTGGGTGCAGGTTTCAAAGAGGTGTTCCTATTGACACCAGATAGGACTCTCAACATGCTGTGAGCGCAGCAGACAGAGCTCTGCCAGCCATGGCCCAGAAGGCCTGCTGGGTGGCAAGTTGCCTTGGCCTTGCTGTGCTGAGTCCCAGAGGCTGCCAGAGGAGAGCAGATGCTTCTGTAACAACATGGGATTGGCCACTCCTCGCCCCCCCCCCCCCCCCCGCCCTGGCTTCTTCTGTAACAGAGGGGTGAGTTTAAAGCATCCAAAAGGGTCATAGACAACCTTCAAAATCAATCACGCTTTGGTGACAGAGAAGCTTCCAGAAAACAGTGAGCATTGGACCCTGCAATTGTTCCCTAGTAACCCCTGAGGTCTCAGGCCAAATTAAAAAACATTGAGAGCACTCCATGTCTATTGCTGTGGCAAGAAGGACAGGAATCGCTAGGCATGTATTACACACCTTTGATCCCACACTTGGGAGGCAGAGGCAGGTAGGTCTCTATAAGTATAGGGCCAGTCTGGTCTATGTAGCAAATTCTAGACTAGCCAGGACTACACAGTGAAACCTTGCCTCAAAAATTAGTCATGTTTCACCAAGCTAAGCAGATGGCTGTTCTGATTTTGTTTCATTTGATTTGTTTTCAGAGGTCTCTTCTGAGAGCATTTCAACAACACATAAGTCTTTCTGTACATTCAACTTGTAGCTAGAAAGGAGACAAAACTGTGGCACCCAAGTCCTCAGTGGGTGTGAATTGAAGAGAATCTATTCTGTTTCCTAGGGTCCTGGACAATTCAGTATCCACTAAATACTGCATGGTATCTGTTTATAATTCACTGTCCCTCTTTTTGACTTAAAAGTAAATATCTACAGTCTTTTCTACATATGCATTTCTGCCGCATTTTGCAAGTAGGTCTTAGTCAAATTCCCTGACGAGACTCAGGCATCATACATTAATAAGCAGGAAGGCAAGGGAGCCTCTCTCCCAGGGAGCAGCATGAGGTCTACAAGAAAGAGTATAAACGTTTACAAGCTGGAGTCAAAGATTCTCAAACACGTGAGAAGCATACACCATGTTAAAAACCGAGATGACTTATACTTTGGTGGTAGCCCTTAAGAGAAGGGCGTTTTGGTGGCAGAAACCCTGGGGCCAACCTTTCTTGTACCCTCATCTGTCCCAGCCCCAAAACAGAATTCAGGATGGATTGCCTTGTGTTCTCCTCTCTTCCGAGAGAAAGCCACTGCCTAGCAGAGACAGTCTCCTGAGTAAACCAATGATTATTGATGTGGAATCATGAATTTTCCTAGTGCTGTCCTCAGGTGGAAGTGCCTGACTTTCACTGAGTGTTTGTGACAGCTCCCTCCACTCAGGTGTCCAGAGCTGAAAGTGACAATGGAGAATGCGCTTAAAGGCTGTCCTCTAGGACAGGGTTGGCATGCTACAACAAGTGGTAGGATCTAGCCTTCTTCCTGCTGCTTGTTTTGTTTTGTTTTCAGTTTTATTAGGACACAGCTACATCCATTCATTGACAGGCTGCCTGTGGCTGCTTATGCCCTGCTGCTACACATCTGAAAAGTATCAGAGAACTGAATGACCTGAAACCCAAAGCTCTTGCCTATCTGGCCCATTGCAAAATGTCTCCTGACCCTGTATTTAAGTATGAAGGGTGGATCTAGATTAAAAGTACCATCTATTAAAAATGAAAATTTCATGAAACTAGCGATGGGAGGTATTTAAAATGGCATTTTTGCTAAATTAATTTGCAAGCCTTTTGGCTAAGCTAAAATTGTATTTACAATAAAGGCAGCTAGCCCTAGCACACCTGTAAGACATAGCTTGTTTTTAATTTTTTCAGAT